AAAAATACAAAATACACACACACACACACACACACACACACACACACAGAGGATTCATTCTATAAGGTAGTATTAGAGTAACAAGAAAAGCAGAAAAATACATCACATGAAAAGAAAAAGAACTAAGCAGCTTAACAAAACCCTGACTCAAAACAAAAACAAAAGGGCCCTCCACACACCCCGCAAAAGAAGAAAAATATTCCTTATAAATATTCTCTATATAAAAATATTATATATATATATAAAATCAACAAAAATGCAAGGTTGGTTCAACATGTGAAAAACAAGAAATGTAACATCATATGTCAGTATAATAAAAAACAAAAGCCACAATTCTCAACAAATACAGAAAAACTCTGGCTATACCCAAAATGCTCTCTGTCTCTCTCTCTCAACAACAAACTAGGAATAAGAAACAACTTCTTCAATCTCATAAAGGTATATATGTACACAAAACAAACAAAAACTACCCATGGCTAATATTACAATTAATTGTGAATAACTAAAAGCTTTCTAAGACCAAGGACAGAACAAACATGTTCATTCTCAGCACTTTATTCACATTATTGTGGAGGTTCTAGCCAGGGCTTTTATGAAAAAAAAGAAGTAAAAGGCTGCCATATTGGAAAGGAACAAGTAAAATTATTTCTATTGGCAGGTGACGTCATCTTGTATATTAAAAAGTCTAAACAATTCACAACAAAAATCACTAGAATATGGAAGTTAACAAAAGTTGCAGAATTTAAGATCAATATAAGAAATCAATTATTTTGCTCTATATTAGTAATGAACCACATGAAATTCAAATTAAGAAAAAGGGTCTACTCACATTAGCATCAAAAAAATAAAAATCCTAGGAATGAATTTTACAAAGAAATGCAGACTTCCACACTGACAACTACAGAGCATCTGTTGAAATTAATGAAAACCTTAAAAAGTGAAAACGCATTCCACATCTGTGGATGGGAAGACCAAACATTAAGAAAACAATACTCAGGCTGGGGCTGTGGCTCAATGGTACAGCGCTTGCCCAGCATGTATGAGGCACTGGGTTCAATCCTTAGGCACCACACAAAAATAAAAATTAAGATCCATCAACAACTGAAAAAATATTTTTCTTAAAAAAGGAAAGAAACTAATAATTTTTAAACTCATTTACAGATACAAAATAATTTCTATTAAAATTCCAACTTTATTCTTTTGCAAATTGATAAGTTAGTCCAAAAACTCTTACAGAAATTCAAGTGATCCAGAAGAGTCAAAACAAATCTGGTATTTCAAAATTTACTATGAAAGCTATTAAAATTGAGTCAGAGATTGTGATATAAGGATGGGGGGTATAGATCAATGGAATAGATCTAGAAAGAAATCATTATGATTATGGTCAAGTGATTTTCAAAAAAGATTCCACTAAAATTCTAATAGGATCAAAACCACAATGAGACAACCACTGGGATGATTAACAGAAAATGATGATGATGATGATGATGATGATGATGATGATGATGATATATACATACACAGAGACAATACCAAATAACGTGGAGAAACTGTAACCCTGCACATTGCTAATAAAATATACAATGGTGCAGCTGCTGTAGAAGACAGTCTCTCAAAAAATTAATATATGATCCGGCAACCCTACTTACGGGTATGTAACCAAAAGAACTGAAAGCAGGGTCTTAAAGAAACACTACACACCTATATTCATAATAGCATTATTCACAATAGCCAAAAAGTAGGGGTAACACAAATTTCCATCAATAGATGAACAGACAAAATGAGGTATATAAATATGATGGAGTATTATTCAGCCTTAAAAAAGCAGAGAAATTCTAATACTCCATGCAACACTGATAAGCCTCGAAAACATTATGGTAAATGAAAGAAGGCAGTCACAAAAGCCATATTTTGCATAATTTAATTTGTACAAAATGTTCAAAATAAATATTTACACAGAAATAAAAAGTAGAGTCATGACTGGGAGGAGCTGGGGAAGAAGAGAGGATGAAGAATGACTGCTAATGGGCATGGGGTGTCTTTATGGGGCAATGAAAAAGAATTTTTTTCAGTACTGGGGATTGAGTACAGGGGAATTCACCACTGAGTCATGTATTCAGTCCCTTTTAATTTTTATTTTGAGACAGACCAATACTAAGTTGCAGAGCTGGCCTCAAATTTGAAAACTTCTGTAGCCTCCAGGGTTGCTGGGATTACAGGCATGTGCTACCATACTGGGCTAAAACATCAAAACTAGAGAATAACACCCTCATTCTCCAGAAGCTTGTGTGGTCCATTTCCCTTGGCCTACCCACTTCATTCTGGTGGTTTTATTTTGTTTATTTATTTACTTATTTTGGCGATGCTGGGGATCGAACCCCAAGCCCCACTAGGTAACTGCTCTATGCTCAGCTTCTCTCCCAGCCCTTCATATATACGTGTGGGGAGGGATGGTGGGGACTGAACCCTGGGCCTCACTTTTATAGGCAAGTACTCTACCAGTAAACTGCATTCCCAGGCCCTGGTCCACAATTTTTAGAAGTTGGGCACTAATGAGAGAGCTGAAACCTTCATTCCTATCCAGAGGTCCAAGCCACTTTGCAAATTCTTTATCAACATTTAGAAAAGAGAAAGCTAAGTAAAAAAATAGGTGACACGTGTGACTAGAAGGCTGGGAAAGGCAGCTTCAACCCCAGCTCTGGCATCAACCCCTGTGAGGCCTTACCTGAGTCACCCAGTATTAGGGGCCCCAGGACCACCCCAAGTCTAATAGCTCACTGGGAAGACCCTCTGGACTCAGCACAGTCATATAGCCGAGAATTAATACAACAAAAGGACACAGCACAAGCAGCAAGAGGAAAGGTGTCTGGGGTAAAGACCAGAGGAGACCCGTGTGGCCTCCTAAGTCTCTCCTGGGTAGTAGCGCAGGGCGTGGTTAATTCACCCAGTCCTGAGTTGTGACAGCTGAGTAAAAAACTGTCCACTGGGAAAGCTCCTTAGAGACTCAGCACTCGGAAGGCTTACAGCAGGCTGAGATGCAGACACAGTTAAGCGCTCGCTGAGATGCCAGACTCCCCAAGGGAAATGAGGTGTGCAACATAAATCATAGTGTATTGCAGGTTGGACACAGTGATGCTCTCTGATTCCACTCTGGCAATGGCGGAAACCTTCGCCAAATCCACGTTTCCGCACACCAGGCTGGAGCCAGACTTGTGAGCAGGCCCTGCTGAGGACAGCAGTCTCAGGCCTGCTGTGTTAACTCCTCTCTGCCCTCACTTCCCTAAGGTCTCATTTTCACATGGTTTTCCCCTCTGACCCACTTGCTACCTTCCAAAAATGTACAGAAGCCACTCTGTAAGATAGAAACTCTGTAAGATGGTATAAATTCAGGGCTGAGGAAGCCACACAGCAACAAGAGACCATCCCTGGGAGAAAAGAATTTCTTTGTTCAAGGCAGTTATCCCAGTGACAATGGTGACCTTATCTTTAAAAAGCCTTCTCCCCCTCAAGGCTGCCCCTCCCAGTTCATCTGCACATTTCAGCTTTCCCTAAGAGATCCTCAATATCGCCTCTTTAAGTTCTTCCCCTTCAGTGTTCTCACCACATGCATATTCAGAGACCAGAGCACACACATTAGGTGTACCTTATATGAAACGCTTAAGACCAGAAGTGCTTCAGAGGTCTGTTGTTTGGATTTGGAAATAGCAACTTTACCAGTTGAGAAGGACTCTCAAGTTTTAGAACTCAGAGCATTTCAGACTTTGGATTTTCAGATTAGGGATGCTCAACCTATAATTCTATCCTCAGTGATTATTTTTTGTTAAAAACATGAACAGTTTTAGTTCCATTAATTATCTTGTATGTAACACAAAACCCACATGTATAACATCCAAGCATGGTGGTGCATGCCTAAAATCCTGGCAACTTGGGAGACTAAGGAGGGAGGCCCATAAGTTTGGGCTACCCAAACTTATTATTCATGGAGACCCTGTCTCAAAAATCACGTGGGTCAGTGGTAAAGTGCCCCTGGGTTCCATCCCCGGCACTAAAACATAAGACAGGTGACTCCTCTAAAATAAAGACAGGTGACTCTTATATACTATTTCAGCATTCCATTACATATCCAGATGCCCAGTACTCTATAAACTCTTACATAAAACAGAATAGAAAAAGTTAAAAGGTAAGCAAAAAGAACAGGATATGAATCCTGGCTACAAATCTTATTGGTCATGTAATCTTTCGAAAGTCATTTTGCGCTTCTAGGACCCTCCTGTTCTGATGGACACAAGGAAAGTCTCAAACAAGCTGCTCCAAAACCGCACTCCCATTCTGATCTCCCAGCAATTTCCCATTACTTTCTTCCTTAGAGGAACAGCATGGGGTAAAGGTTTAGAATTGATTTGGTGCCAGCTTGGTGCCAGCTTTCTCCATCACAGTTGAAATGATAAATATACAATTGTTATACTACTTTATTTTCATTATAACAAAGAACTATTTGTGGATTCAAGTCATCTTGGGTATGACAAGACACTGGTTCCTCGAATTAGCTTCCACACATTGACTGAACAGAAAGCTAACATTTTGAAGATATTTTCCAAAAATACTATATTATTGCTCCCAGATACATTTGGGAAAGTCTTTCTTAATTCAAATAAATATATCCCAAGCACCTATCATACCTTGTGCTATGTATACACAAGATGCAGAACCACAGAAACTGAAAGAGTACTGGGTGTCAACACCAATCACTTTTTAAAGGTGCTTCTAAAATCAGTATGTGGCATAGGAATGGGCCAGATGTCTAAAGGAGAAAGTTGTATTTGAGAGAGTAGAATCGGAGGGGAACCTTATGTATGATTCAGTCAAGATCTCCAACCACCAACCCTCAAACCATGCATTCTTTGAATAAAATCACCACATCAAAAACAGTACTGCAAACCAAGATGGTACCTGAGAAAGAGCAGGGAAAGGGTAGAAAAAAGGAAAAAGTTTGAACTTACCGGGACTGTGGCAATCCTTTTTTACTGAGATCTGCCCTCACGCGTTCTCCTACATGTCTGTAAATTTCCACTAAGCTGTTTATTGCTGCATCTCGAACCTAGATGGAAAAGAAGACACCTTATGGATGCTGTGTGTCACTCCCCAGCACTTCCTGCTGGGTCACAACAGGCCACAAGCCACCCCAACTTATCAGCACAACTAAATACAATCCCTTATACACGCTGGACTAAAGTCTCATTTGACAATTTTCCTTCCTACAGACACCATCCCAAAGTGTAGAAAATGCACAGGTTCCCCACCCCAACATATGTGCTGAAAGTCTATATCCTTAATTCTTTCCATTCTTTAGGATGATATCAGAAAAACACAATTTTTAGGTCATCTTTCCATGTATTTGAAAACAAAAACATCATGCAAAATAATCTGAATTTGAGTAAATAAAATGGAAACAAAAATGGAAAGTACAGGTTGCACAGACCCTATATTCGAGGAGCTCAGAATCCTAAAAAGGAGAAGGAGGAAAAGTCCCTAAGCTTTACATTTAATACAGGATGCAATAAACATTCAACAGCACAAAGAGCATAGTAGAAAGGAAGGTGCAGTCATATCTGGGCATGTTAAGATATGCTGTATGGAAGAGAGGGGCACCTAAAATGTGTTTGGAAACAAAGGATGTCACCAGGTCCAGTTGGAAGGAGATAGGTGCAAGGTTTTAAACAAGATCCTGCCTGTGCTAAGGCAGAAAAGCAGGAATGCACAGCACGTGCTTCAGGAAGGGCAAGTATTCCAGTGTAGCCAGAGACAAAGAGGAACCAAGACAGCAGCACAAAATCAGGATGGAGATACAGGATAGATCCCTGCCCCCCACCCTGGTCCTTTGGAGAAATTTGAATGTAGACTGTAAAATAAACAATACTATACTGTACAATATTAAATTTCTTAGGTACAAAAATGACATAGGATTGAGTAAGAAAATATCCTTGCTACTGAATGATACACACTGAGGTTCCTAGGAGTTAAAAAACAATTTTTTTAGTATAAAAAAGGTGTTTCTGATTAATACTCCATTGTGCATATAAACATGTTTAGACTATATTATCTTGTCCCCCAAAAATCTTACTCTGTGAACAGATTTGTGACCATCAAAAAGTAACATCTGCATATTACTTTTAAATGGTTCATGAAAAAAAGTTATGATTGCAAAGGCATGTATATGTGAATAAATAAAAAGAGGGGGTTGCTGGGGGAAGCAGTGTAATGAATTGGTAGGCAAAGATGGGGGAGAAACATGATTTTACATTTGGTCCCAAGCAATGAAATCAAAGTACTGGAGTGAAGGAAACAGGTAGGATAGGAACAGAAATAATTTATGGTCTGGAAACTGCAGGCTACTCTGTGAGATTTAATAGTGTCATATGACAGGTAACTTTATTCATAATTTCCACCCCCTCTGGTGGAAAAGGCAAATCCTCAGCTATAGCATCTTTTTTAAAAATTTGTGGATGTGCATGACAGTAGAATGTATTTTGACATATTATACATACATGGAATATAACTTATTCTAATTAGGATCCCATTCTTGTCATTGTATGTCACATGGAGTTTCACTGGACATGTATTCATCTATGAACATAGAAAAGTTATGTCCCATTCATTCTATTGTGTTCCTAGTCCCATATCCCATACCTCCTCCCTTCCCTTTATTCCCCTTTGTCAAACCCAGTGAACTTCTAGTCCTCTATTTCCCCCTTATTGTGTGTTAGCATCCACATATCAGAGAGAACATCTGGTCTTTGGTTTTTGGCACTGACTTATTTCACTTAGCATGATAGTCTCTAGTTCCACCTTTTTAGTATGAAATGCCAAAATTTCATACTTCTTTATGGCTGATTAATACTCCATTGTGCATATACACACATTTAGGCTATATTATCTTTTCCCCCAAAACCTTACTCTATGAACTGATTTGTGTCCATCAAAATCCAAATGTTGGAGACCTAACATCCAATGTTACTGTTATGTAGAAGTAAGGCCTCTTAGGAGAATAGAGGTTAAATGAGGTCATAAAGGTAGGGCCCTGAAATGAAAAGATGATTAACCTCATAAAAGACATAGAAAGAAGCAGCAGAGAGAGAAGATGGCCATTTGAAGTCAGGAAGAGAGTCCTGCCACACTGGCACCCTGGCCTCAGACTTCCAGTCTCCAGAACTGAGAGAAAATGAATGTCTGCTGGTTAAACCCCAGCCAGTCTATGTTGTTCCATCACGGCAGTCCAGAAGTTTACTCACACAGATTATCAGTTTATGTGGCTTAAAAAAAAACACACACACACACACAATCTCTAATGCTAGGAAACATTTTCACATAGTGATAGGCAAACACTACAAAAGTAGTCCATGACACTGTGTCTTGGCAACCAGGAGTAAGAGCACCATCTCTGCTCACTTTCTAGTGATGCCATCTGCTCGTCACATCGGCTGGTCTCCTTAAAAAGCAACCCGTACCAATTACTTACAAAGTGTAAGCCATAAACAGTTAAAGACACTTAGTGGAATTAGTAGCTTTGAAGTCAATGTAGACCTAAAGACACGGCCACCAGAAGCTGCATGACCTTAGAGGCAACACTGAACTCCTGTAGTATGCTTCCTCCTCTATTAATTGAGGGTTGCACTGAGAGATGAAAGAATGGATTCACTCAACAAATACTTGAGTGCTTACTGCTCACACAGACAAGTGGTGAATGATGAGTGAGTGGGACAAGCTGCAGGTAGCAGTGATGTGGCACTGGCAGGGGACCCTGCTAGCAGCTAGAAGAGGGAAGGCAAACTCAGGTGTTGAGAGCCACAGCCAAAGGGGCTCCAGCAACATCTAGCTGATTGGTTCCTCTGCGGTGATGTTCATTGGGCTGTTTCCCTGCCCTTCAGACTGCCGGCTGATGATTGGCTCACAGCGGCCCCAGCAACATCTAGCTGATTGGCTCCTCCGCGGAGCTGCTCATTGGGGGACTTCTTTGGCTCCGCCCACACAACCCAGCCAATCGGCCTCAAGAGCAGGAGGATTGTGGGAGGTGGGGAGGTTTGTGTGGGGGAGAGGCTTGTGGAAGCCGGTGGTGGCAGTTGGGCTCTGAGGGTTTTTTCCTGAGGAGCTGTTTTGCTTGGCGTTTGTAGTTCTAAAAATAAAATTAGTTTCTTTTGACAAGAGGCTCCTGAATTGTGCCCAGCCAGACTGCGGCACTCAGGCACACAGGTCTCCATCACCCCACCATGAGATGATGTAGGCATGGCTCTGCCACACCTTGTACACTTTCAAGAAAAGTCAGAAAAATGTGTCTCCCTGCACACTCATCTAAAATTTCTGTGGGTAAAATTAAAACATTCTGCAAACACACACACACACACACACACACACACACACACACACGTATATAACAATCTGCAGGCTACAATCAGATCTTATGCCAGTTTTTGACCTACAATTTCTGTATCTGATGCACTCAACACAATGATGATCATTCTCTACATCTTTTAAACAAACATTGTTGGCCTCTAAAATAATCATTCCTCAGACTTATAAAGCTCCAGGGTCTAAACCAGCCTTTACTGAAGAAATGCAGATGAGCAGATTCTCTTTGGTGTCCTATAAGGTTCAATACTTATATTGAACCTTATAGGACACCAAAGAGGGAAGGGAAGGTTAAATGAGAGCAGTTCAGTAGAGAATGAAGGACGGCATGGTTGCTCATGAATGCACGAGTCTCACACTACCTCTACCTGCTTACGTCAGGCCCACCACAGAAAGGAGCCCACAGCCTCAGGATATTCAGGCTGTGAAAGTGCCATATATGAAGCACTACCTGCCAAGCACAAGTTGAACCCTTTATCTATAAAGTTATCTAGGGTTTCCCGTGTATGCCACGGTGTTCCTTCCTTCCATCCTCAAAGGGATCCCGTTTCCTGGACACCCAAGAGGGAATGAAGGCTGGAGAGGTGAACCCCTGCCCCAGAATGGAAGCAGAACTGCCAACTGAGTGCAAGCCTGTGTCCTCCTTTAAGCACACTGCATCCCAACACGGATGTCAACATTAGGGCTTTGATTAAAGCAAAACACTCAGAGGGCTTGACCGCTGGGGTAGTGGGACAGAAAGGCAGCCTGTAAAAGTTGCTGAGAATCTAAATCTCCCCCAACCTCCATCCTCCTGGACATGAGCACAGCCCCAAAGCCAGCTACCTGGGGAAATGAGTACCACAGGAGCACACCAGTACACCCATGAAGCAGGGACACGGCAGCCCTGTCAAACCCTTCACAGAGGCCAGCTTTCTCCCCACCTCTGCACCAGCTGGGAAAACATTGGTTCAACAGGCAAGGAGATGTGTTGTGGTAGGCCTTAGAGGTGTGCAGCGCACAGCAGCAGGGGGAAGCCACTTGGAAGCAACCCCCATTATGCTGCCTCAGGCAAGGCTAGGAGCCCAATCCACAAAACCTAAGGCTGTCAGGCACAACTAGTGCTCTTCCCTAGTCCGGGACTTCCTTCTGTGCAGGCTGCCAGCTTCCTTTACCACAGCCACTGCCCTGCCCCTCTCATCAACATGCTGGGTCTATGGTGGAATCCACATGTCCAGGAATGAAAGCCTGTCTCCTTAGTGTGTGGCTATCACACAACCCTGGGATGGCACACAGGACCTGGGATAGGATTCTCCACATTGAGATAGGAGAGAAACTGTGGAAAAGCTTATGGAATAGGTTCCTATGCTCTTGGAAAGGGACAGCTGGGGAAGAGTGAATGCTGGCTGGCACTCAATATGAGAGAATTTATTCATTACTGGAGGACAGGAGGTGACAGTGTTAATAGGGTTATGTTTTTAAGGTAAAAGTCCTTATACTCTGGCATAGTTAGGAATTAATGTCTAAGATTTGCTTCAAAATAATGGGATAGGGAGGGAAATCAGGAAACTGATGCTGGATGGCACCCTCATTACTTCTATGCACATTTGAACCTTTTTTTTTTTTTTCCTTTTGCAGTACTAGGGATAGAATCTGGAGCCTTGCACATACTAAGCAGGCAATCTACCACTAGGCCTCACTCCCAACCCTGTCTGAACCTGTCAACAACAGACAGGAGCTTGGGAGGTGAGATCTCCCACCCACCAGGCAGCCCTGCACGTGTGTGGCCTGGCTGCACCTGGTCTGTGCCCAAGGACAGATCTGTAGAACACAGCGCCACAGTGGAGATGGCAAGATGCTCAGTTCTGAGGGTGCCACTGGGCCATTAGGAGGCTGGACCTCCCTCCAGGACTACTCCTTGTGCACAGTGGTATTTGCCCCTTGCTCTAGCAACTATAGGCTGGGTTTTTAGTGACTTGCACCAAAAGCATTCTAACCTTCATACTCCATGCATCTATGGCCACTCTGGGAAGCCTCGGGAGGGCTTCCACTGCCTCAAGACACTCAGCTACGCTCAGCTCAGATGACTAAGGGGGAATTCACATCCTCCAAAGCAGGAGTAACCTGCAGAGTTCATTTAAATACTATGCACTCAATGCTGGCAGCCACCTGAAGAGCTGCAAGAGAATTTCAGTGGCCACTCGTGAGAGGGTATTGAAGAACTAGAGGCTGACTACTATTGTCAGGCACCCGAGTGCAGTGATAGCACCAACAAAACCCAAGTGTGCTCTATGGTCTGAGACTAGCAAAGAAGGGAAAGTTCATCCAGAGTTATGGGGTGGCCTAGAACTGTAAAGAATAGCAAGTTATGATCTTCAGTCTCAAGGCCAGAGCCTAGGAGGAAAAACTGATGAAAAAATTAAAATAAAGACAAGTAAGGACATGGGGGTGCAGTTCAATGGAAGAGTGTACTTAGCATGCACACATCTTGGGTTCAATCTCCAGAACCAAATACACTGATATAAAAGCACACACAACTTACGTTAAGAACCCCAGAAGGAGCAGTGATCAACTTGATTAGTACAAGGGAAGCAAGGTGGCAGGGTTTCTGGGAGCGGTGGTACGTATATGTGCATGCAAATGTACAGATAAGACATGACCAAGGCAGATGTGGATATAGGGATTAATTGCAGAGTACTGTGTGTAGGATCCCCAGGCCACACATCCTGTCTACTAGACTATGAAAAGCTGCCCATACAGTCACAAACTGCATTTTTTAGAGGGGAAAAAAAATGAAAAAGCAATAAGAATTTTCTTCCAACCAGAGGCACAAAGGCCTAGGACTTAATCCATAAAACTTAGTGCAGGCTGCAATTTCCTGGCCGAGGCCCCACATTTTCTGACACATAAAGAACATCCACTTAGTATATTAGGCAGGAAGTGGTAGCTTGAACTTCGGGCTTCATGAAATATTTTAAACAAGTTTTGCATTTTTCCTCTTAGAAAAAGAAATTATTTTCTTATTTCTTCATAAAAAATATATATAAAATAATCTTTATTATGATTATTTAGCAGCAAGAAACAATTCCACTAAAAGGTGTTTCTTTTGCATTTAAGTTGTACTTATGATTACCACTGAGAATCGGCCCAAGAGCATCCAGCTTTTGGTAATGACACCGATTTTTGGTACACAGAGGGTTCTCAATGTTTGGTATAAGAGAAATATGTCTATGACAATATCATAAATACATTTCAAGACACAAATGCCTGTCCTGTGATTTAAGAATTTTCATATATTCAAAACACTATATATCTAAGAATTTCTTAGAAACTCACTGGAATGTGGCAGGTGTAAGATTTCTGCAAATGAAAATGGCCATCAGGCCACAAGGAGACTTCCAAGTAACTTGGCCCTTCTAAGGGTCTTCTACTTGGCTCAAGGGTCATGCCAGCAGGTAAGAACAGTCACCCTCCCAAGTACTTTCACAAGGAGTGAGGAGCAAGGCAATCATCAGTGCCCTGAGAGGGACACTGCAGTTCAAGATCCAAGTGCCCACTAACGTGAACTAGCTCTAAAGTACAAAGGCAGGACCAAGCCTAGTCCCGTGTTTTCCACCTAGGCGTTCCGGCACCACACTAGGCAGCTCGAAGTTGTAAATACACTCTACCTTCTGTCACCTTTAAAACACTATTCCAAACTGCTCAAATTTGATGCTACCTTAATCTCTTAGATAACTGAATGTTTTCCAAATACATGATCATTCTGGTCACAAGTAATTTAATCTATGCTGCTTCTAAAATAAGGAAAATCTTATTAACAAATTAACCCCTTCTCTAGACCTAAAGGAACAAAACTGCATCAGGGAACAACCCAACGCAAGGACAGATCAGTCTCTCCATCCCTTCTGCAGAATCTTCAAGGAACTTCTTAGTGGTGATAGGGCCAGGGGTTGCTAACTGAGGCTTCCCCTATCAGGAAACTTCAGAAGAAAACCTATGAAGAATTCTACATTCTGGAGGCTTGTCTAACAGCTTTCAATATGAGAATGTCACTGTTTCAAAACTTTAAATGTAACAACACTTCATTCTCAGTGACTCTCAAAATCTACATGGAATCTGTGATCTTTCAGGCAGGGAAATACTGAGTTTTTCCCCCACAGTACACATCAGTGGAGGGTCCTGGCCTAACAATGTCTCCTCCATGTGCCTCTGGAGGATGGTGTCCATCTCAGTTACAAAAACAAAACCTGAGGCCCCCAAAACACCAATCCAACAACCTTCCCCCAACCCTGCAAAGCCTAAGTTTCTGCTTCTGCTGGGCCCACAGCGGAAGCTCATAGTTAGTGTATATGGAAGAAAAGAAGGGACAGAGGGGCAGAATGGGAACATGAACCATGCTGCAGTGTGGCACACAGTGACACCTGATGGTACACAGCAACATCCACACCCCTCACCAAGTCGGACTCTGGACAATGTCAACTGTCATCCCAGGTCACATCTGTCTAGCCTACCTTCACAGTTAAAGTGTACCGAGGGTGTGTACTCAGGTCCAGTGTTAACATTCATGTCACCAACCTGGCCAGTGTAAGCATCTGAATTAAGGACAAATGACCTTGACTAAAGAAGATGGCATTTCTGCTTGGCAAATACGCACCATGTATTAAGAGTGACATACTCAGTGTAGCCTCTAGAAAGGGGCTCTTCTGTTGAGGACAGCACGGTGGTGCATGCCTATAATCTCAGTGACTTGGGGAATTGAGTTCAAAGCCAGCCTCAGCAATTTAGTGAGGCCCTAAGGAACTTTGCAAGACTCTGTCTCAAAAAATAAAAATGGTTGGGATGTGGCTCAGTAGTTAAGTGCCTCTGGGTTCAATCCCTGGTACCAAAACAAAACAAGACAAAAACAGACAAGACCAAGGCAGGGAATGTGGCAAGATAAGCCATTGGATAATCTAGCATTTTTTTTTTAACTTAAAAGTAAAACTAATACTGACTAGGAAGCATGATTCAGTAAGCATATACCTAAGAGCTGTATTTCCAGTGCCACACAGCTTCAGTGAAGGCTGGGTGAGAGAAAATGGGATAAGCAAAGGAAAAAGCAAGGACCACACAGCACAAGAGATGCCAGAGAGAAGATGAGAAACTGCCGTGGGACTCGAGAGCAAAGACAAAAGGAAGAACAGAAGGGACACAGACCCAGTGAGACCTAGGGGCTGGCACCTAAGTGGAAGGAGAGATGGCACAGCCTTGTTGGAGGGTGATTTGTTAACAATTGAGACCTAAAATGAGATGCCTCTTCATCAGATATATTTCTTTTATAATTTACTGCCACATTTTCTGCCCCTCTGTCTAGGAAAACATCTGTCCTTCTATGTGAGCTGGTATAATAAAAATGACTCTTGGTGAGAAACAAGCAAACTGGGCAAGACAGATGGTCTTGTGGAGCTCAGACCTGGAAGCTTCCTGAGTTGCCTGATGGCCATAGCAGATGTCACCAGACTGTGATGCCCAGTAACCACAGAGCACATGACCAGCTCCTCTCTACCTTTTTTTTTTAAGCATTCTTTATTGTTTAGACATAGCTACTTTTCATTTACTTATTGCTAAAATGAATTCAAATGTGTAGTTTCTTTTATGCTAGAGCAAACCAGGAAATCAGGACACAACTGTCATCGTTAAATTTTAATCTTCAAAGAACAAGATCTCCACAAGGCTGGCCTGAAGACACTCAGATTCTACCAGTTTTTGAGATGTTCCATATTTAATTAGTGGAGGGACCGCAGTTACTTTCAGTTGTTTTCCAAAGTCATCAATTGGATCTTTCCAAGAAGTTTTTTCTCCTACTTGGCAGTGGATGAACACCCAGCCTTCACTGATAGGCTTCAGCCCCTCTCGAATGACTGGGATACCAGCTGTTCCCTTCGGTGTCCTTAGAACCCATGAAGTACAGGAAAATGGTCTTGCCAAGGTGCTGCTTCACAGCCTGACTCAACTCCTGGAAGCCCGCCATGCTCACCTCCTCATAGACAGCCATAGGTACTGTGCACTGCTTGGGGCAGAAGGAGTCCACTGCTGCTGGGCAGGACCCGCTCAGGGTGGGGGTATAACACTTCTGATGTCCTCTCCACCTTACACTAACAAAGTGCTTTGCCTTTTGCAATTTAGGTAAAATTTGTTTCAAGCACAATTCTTAAGGAAACAGTACAAGTACTGTCCACAGTGATACAGCAGCAAGCATACACACTGCCCGGAGCAAAATACAGAAGATGCCCTCAGATACTTTCCTAGTCACTCTTCCCAGTCCCACCCTCACCCTTTTTGGCTTAAGAGACAGTGACCAGAGTGGTCCTATCTTGAGGCTGAACTGGATGACAGCAATTTATAGAGGTCAGTGATTTCACAGCCCTACATAAGAGAGGGAACCGAGCAGCCACAACTTTACCATTATTTCATGAATAATAACTGGTAGCTAATGTCATACACAATGATCAGAATTCTTTGAAGATGAGCGAGCCCCACCCACCTACTGAGAACACCCTACAGAGAACACCAAAGTCCATCTGAGCACTCAGTAAATAAACGATTTCCCCCCAGGATTTTCTTCCTCACTCACCTGACTGTTTGGGTCTCCAAGTAAGTTACATATGTGTGGCACGATCTTGCTTAGTGTCAGAGTATGTGCTCCAGAGCTGAGAACAAAAGGGGTGTGTGACTGTTAGAACTAAGGAAAAGAAGGAAGCCCCTTTGCCCACAGCCGCCCCTCCTCCACTTCCCAGAGTGCAACCACCCTCACAATACGGCCCTCTCCACCCTGATGGAACGCACCCCAATGGGCCCTTTCCCAGGAGTTCAAGCCCCTCAGTGGCCCTGACCTTTAGAGGCTAAGCCAGAAGCCTGCTCCCACCATAGTGCTTGCCTCACCCGTGACATCTCTGCCCTGTGCTTTGTCATGTCATAGTATCTGTCCTGACAAGCTCAGTGACCAACCAAACTGCAAGTCCCTTGAAGCCACCCCTGGAGGGTCCCTGTGCTCTATGGAACAGCTCCTGCTATAGCAGACATTCCGTTAATGCTGTTGGATGACAAAACTGTGATGGAGTAGCCGCAGGACTTCCGACCACATGCTGCCCTGCTGGGAGACCTTCAGGTATTCACAACTCTTCCCCATCACAAGCACAGTTGCCACAAACGCCCTTTGTTAATACATTATATAAATGGTAGAGACAACTCTAGAAAATATTTCAGTAGTTTCTTTCAAAACTAAAAAATAACCCTGCCACTGTACTCTTGGGAAATGACCCAAGGGAAATAAAAACAACATACCTGCAGAAATTTAGACATATTTGTGTACACACATTTGTAGCAACTCTATTTCTAATAGTCCCAAACCCAAATTTTCTTCAACAGTTGAATGGTTCAACAAACTGGGATATACATCTATAGCATGATTTCTCAGCAATAAAACAAAATGAATTACTGTCACTGTCAATAACAGATATTACAACCTCAAGGGAATTATGCAGACTAAAAAGGCTCTCAAAAGATTACATATGGTATTATTCCATATTTATGACAAAATGACAGAGATGGAACACAGACTAGTTATCCAGGCAACAGGGCAGCAGGTGGGAGACCTGTGAGTACTGGTGTGCATCCACAGAAGCCACACATGTATACCTGGAGCAATCTGAATAAGCTCTGTGAGCTGTGCCAATATCCCTTTCCCAGAGTTGACACTGTACTACCTGAAGTTCACTGTACTGCAGTTATGGAAAATGTCAGCACAGGCAGGGGGATACACCTCCCACTACATTTCTTTGCAGCTTCCCATAAATCTATAACTTCCAAAATAAAAAATGTATTACAAAGCTTAAGTCAAGTAAAACTTATAAATTCACCCTAGACTTACGCATTGAGTGTTGCAATAAGGCAGAGACAGATGCCTTCTCTTGTACGGAAATTCTTGTGTTTGAAGCCTCCAAGCATTCTGTCCCATACATACTGCAGGTAAAAGAACAGGTGAGAGGACAGAAATAGCTGCAGCCCTTCCCTTGGGTTGCAGAGGAGGAGCCCCTTAGAAGGTGCCAACCTGGTCCCATCCTCCATCAGCCCCCTCGGCCCTCTCCACAGCATATTGAAGAACAATGGCTTATTATCAAACATATCATGTTAAAATGTTCAAAATGCATACATTTATAGAATTTTATTTAATTCCATCAACACCTCTTAAAAGAGAGGCATAACTGGCCTTGTTTTATAAGTGAGAACAAGAAGCCCAAAAAAGAAGAGATGACTTGACAAAGACCCTGTAACACTCACACTGCTCTATGCCTGGGACAAATCTACCCACTTGGTCATCTTCTATGGCCAATTTAATCTTTCCCTCAGAAAGGTTTTTACTGATGATCATCCCCACCTCACCACCAACAATGGACAGTGGGACACTGACAGGCTGCATCCAATCATCCCAGCAGGCCCAGCTCCACAGCAGATAGAGCCCAGGGTTCCAGCCAGTGCCCCTAGCTTCCCAGATACCAGGGCTGCCTCCTTTCAGGGAAAAGGGGAAGCCAGTGGTGAAAAAGAGTTAAAGAGCCTAATCGATACACCAAGCATCCAAAACCCATGTTAAATCCACTAATTTATTCAAATGATGGGTTCTGCTACTAATTTAAACATCTTATATTAGGGGACAGATTAAATATATGAAAATGCTCCCCTGTAACACACCAACTTAAAAGAAATTAAATCTATGGAGTAAAATGCTGTTTATCCAAGTGGACACATGCCCACTGACCCCAGAATGCTTCTCTCACCTACCTGGGGATTAGCAGCTTGATCCATGATCTTTAGCAGCAGAGTTTGGTCTTGCTCCCTTACAGAGTCTTTAGCATCTCCCAGTCTGTCTATTAGACTTGGCAGCACTGAAAATCAACATGGAAATTGAACAAATGGAAACCAAATGGGGGTGGGGGGGGGGTCATCAACTGCTAATATTTCAACTAATTAGGAAGATAAACCACTGGCCTAACTCGTGTACCTCATTCTAAAACCGCCCATTTTTGTGTACAGCTCTACTCTTCCTGATGAAATGCAAGAATTACCAAAAGAATCCACAAAATCCACTGCATGGACAAATTGCAAAACCAATTGGCTTGGTTTTGCGTCAGTTTTGCAGGGCTTCTTAAAACAGTTCTATAAAAGAAAGGTTGAGGACAAATATGAGTGGGTCGGTACTAAAGAATGACGGCTACTTTTGCACAAGAAATCAAGTTGGCAATTAATTATTAATTAATTAAAAAATCAATTATCGGAACACGCATTATTAATGTTCCATATTAGAACATGAAGACTGGGGGGAAAACGACAGAAAAGTACAATGCAATAAGGCCAGTGATGTGTGGTGTGGGGAGAAGGGGGTGCAGCCCTGCTGGGGAAAGCAGAAGGAAACAGAGCTGGGAAGCAGGGTTGGCAGGGAGCGAAGGGTGGCTGGAGGAACTGAGAAGACTCAGGGAAGGCAGCGGGGCTGCAGGGAGGAGAATCCAGGTCGGCTCCACACCTGCCCACAGCTCACCTGTGCCGATTTGCGCCTTGAACCGATCCTGCAGCCGGGTCACCAGAGCCGACAGGATATCCATGCCCAGAAGAACCACCTGCAACGGGAAACAGCAGGAGCCGGTCAGCAGCGGGCCCGGGGAGCAATGCTCCCGCCCACCCACTCAAAGAATGCCCCAGCATATCTGGCCCGACGTTATCCGGAGCCCGTAGCGCAGGCGCTGACTGGGAAAACTAAACTGGCCAGAGGAAGGAGGCTGTCGCACAAAACAGCCGTTTACAGTTTTGGTAGAAAATACTCAGTGCCAAAAAAACGAAAATAAGCAGCCACGCTTGGCCCAACTCCCCGGAGCCAAGAAGAGCTCCTCGCGGACCCGCCCTCTGTCAGCCCCGCCCCGTCAAGCGCGTATGCAAATTATCGGTCGGCTGGCGCGAGGTCTTCTGGGTAAAACAAACCCTTCGTTTTGCGGCCCTTCGAAGTCTCAGAAAATGGGAGTAGATGGTTTGAGTTGGGAGCTATGGTCACTAGAAGTAAGCTAACTACCAGGCAGGCTAGGGCGGGACTCCTGAAATTAGTCACCACAACCCTACCTGGTATTGGAGCTTCCAGCTCGCAGTGCACGCAAGCTCGCGCTCAACCATCCTTTTCTTGGGGTTGCGTTACTGTCCAATGAGCGTCTAGTGAGGGCAGTACTGCTAACGCCTACACAACACACTCGCATCAATTAGAGCTGTGCTTTATTTTGGTGCAATTTTTGGAAAAATGAAAAACCTCTTTTCCCTGCGTTCAGAGTTTAAAGATAGGTAATATAATCTTTGAAGAAACCGTAGTGCTTTACTTGACCACCGCTAGGTGGCGTAGCACACCCACTGTATTTTTTTGAAGACTCGATTATTATTAAACCCACTCCCACTTCACCATCACCCGATTTCTAATCCTTGTGATTTGAGATACCTAAAACACTATTGGAATTGTTTGTAATACTGCCTGCCGTTCCTTCTCCAGTTCACTCATGATTCCTCCAACTATAGCTAGCAAAGAACTGGGCTTCATATTTAGTTGTTATCCACTGCCTCTAAAGAAATCCAAATTTGCCCAATAATCAGAATACATGAATTGGCGTGGCCTCTCAAGGGGAATAGCTATTTGACAATTTATTAAGTGAAGGTTGATTTGTAGACAAGTTTTTATACTATTATGTAATGGTATTTTAAAAAGTTAAAATAGTGACTTTTTAATATTATTATGATGTGGATTTTGCCTTTTTGTAGATGGATATAATATCTTTATTTGTTTATTACTTTGCTTTTGAGCTTTAAAAACGTTCCACATTTAACTTCCTTCTTATAAAAACAGTATAGGGCGTAGTAATCTTACAGTGACAGATGCTACCCCAGCCAGATGATGAAGGTCAATCAGCAATCAAATCATGCTGGTGGTTTGTATTCTTGATATTATGAAAAAGGCACTCTTTATCTCTAGGACAGTCCTCCCAACAACCAGTAAGTCCAGTCTTATGAGAAAAAAAAAAAAGCAAGAAAATTCCAAGAACAGGGCTCCTATAAAACACATGACCAGTGCTCCTCAAAAGTCCAAGTCATTAAAAACAAGGAAGACTGAGAAATTGTTACAGCTAAAAGACACCAAAGGAAACATAACAACTAATGTAAAATGGTATTTTGGATGGGATTCTGGAACAGAAAAATATCAATTTTTTCTTAAATTAAAAACTAAGTGGGGCTAGGATGTGGCTCAAGCAGTAGCCCGCTCGCCTGGCATGCGTGCCACCCGGGTTCGATCCTCAGCACCACATACAAAGATGTTGTGTCTGCCAAAAACTAAAAAATAAATATTAAAAATTTTCTCTCTTTCTCTCTCTCTCTTTAAAAAAAAAAAACTAAGTAAATCATCACTAGTAAAAACTAAGTAACAAAGCATAGATTTTCACCAATAATAATGTATCATATTGGCTTATAAAGTGTAAGAAATATTCCATACTAATGTTAGATGTAATGACAAGGAGAAGAGGAATAAGATACATAGGGACACACTGCATTATCTACAATATTTCTGTAAATTCAAAACCTTTATAAAAAATAAAATTTTGTGGAGTTTTTGGGTTTGTTTTGCTTGCAGTGCTAGGGATTTAACCCAGGGCCACATTCAGGCTAGGCAAGTACTCCTATCACAGAGCTACCTTCCCAGCCCAAAGTGCAGTTTTCAGAAACAAGTAACCCATCACTTCACTGGAACTGAAGTTCTCTCTCCCCTGATGACATCCTAGGCAGCTGCACAGTTGCATTTCTGGTTGGATTATTACAAAATATTAAGAGTGCTGCCTTCAGATCACACCACACCTTTCAAAAGTCACTCAAGACTAAGGTGTGAGAGGTCTACTGCATTTTCAGATATGACAGCTCAGGTGGATTAAGCTATCCATGAGATCTAGGAAGGTAACTTTAGCTCTTCCAGAATGCAGTTCCAGGTACTTACAGAGCAACTGGACTTTGGAGGGAAACAAAGGGACTTGCCACACACAGTTGTCTAGTTCGCCCTCAGTAACAGACCCAAGGACAAGGACAGGAATCACCAGCACCAGTGTGTCTTCACAGCTCAGGCCCCTCTCCTGTTTCTATTTCACCACTGAAGAAGGGGACAAATACAAAAGTCCTTGCCCAAAAGGTCACTCTAAATATTAGCTGGGGAACCTCTGTGCCTTAGTTCCCTCTTCTCTAAAACAGCTACATCACAGGCGGTGGTGACCATTCAACGCATTGTGCACTTAAAGGGCGTGAGCTAGGGCCTTGTACACGGTAAGGGCTGGACTACACAGAATAGTCATCCTCACAGATCAGTGCCATTGCCACTGGCAAGCACATGGGTGACAGGAACTGGGCTGGCAGAAAAGGCATCCCAGAAAGTGCACAGGGCTACATTTTGAAAGGACGGAGCTACACATCAGAGATGAAGAGACCTCTATGCAGAGGGAAGAGCGAATGTTAAGCTGAGGGCAGTTATATGGCCAGATACAGGAGCCACAGGGGACATCCCCAAAACAGCCAGGAGTCCCCAGATAGTGGAGAGTCACTGAAGGGCTGTAAGGAAGGGGTAGGTACTAGGGGAGCTGGAGCCTTTAGAGAGGACAGTGGCCACCATGGTGAAGATGGTCTGGAGGCTCTCACCCAGCACTTGCTTTTGCAGAGCCTTTGAACACCTCCTCCACCATTTTTTCCAGTCCCTGGTGTTTATACTTGCTTCATAGCTGAACTCCTGTAATGTGAGGAATCCTACGAACATTTCCTCAGAATTCCCCTTGTATACAGTGGCACAGTGCTGGGTACATAGCAGTGTAGACCCCTACTCAACTAATGAATCAGACTGGAACGGATGGGTTCTCCGAGCCCAACACAGTTTCTTTATCTTAAAAACTTTAAAAAGATACTCCCATAAAGGAGGTAGATATAGCTAAGTAATTGGACCAAAATTCCCGCTGAGAACAACAAAAAATGCTTGGCATAATAGAGCATCTGCTTAGAACCCTCTGAAAGAACAGGAGAACCACCGAGTCAAGGCACGAAAGATGACTGAGGCTTGCAGAGATGCACCCTGGTGATGGGTCCACTTCTGCCCTGGGCCATTATCCATAGAGAGGGGCAACTGACACACTGAGGATGGTTTCTGATCTCCTCCTGACTCACCAAGCATGACAAAGTCAAGACCCCAAAGCTCTCCAGGGTTGGTTTAGAGGGGTAACCGTCTACAACTGGGGCTAGAAATCCAAATGGCTAGGCCTTGGCTGCTGGGTGGTCCAGCAAAGTCCTAATCGCTGACCTCAGAGTAAGATGATTTTAGAACATGTATGCCCTAAAGCCCCTCCCCTCAGAGATAAAGACAGAAATTATTTCAGGGTAAAGAGAACATCATCATAGTCTACCTCAATTTACTTCTGGAAGTTTTTCAAAAGTAATATTCAAAATCCAACCAGAGATTTCCAGGCACAAAGGGCATCATAATTTAAACTAGCAGAAATAAAGGCCCACTTGAATTCTTAACCTGAGAATAATCAGAAATAAATTTTAAAATAATAATTCTTACTGAGAAGATAAACACAGAATTGAAATTTGGGGAAGAGAAATGGCAGCTTTTAAAAAGTTACACCAATTTTTTTAAAAAACAAGTACCAGACAAAATTAAGTGCTCAGTGGATGGGCTATGTCTAAAGCACATTGGATATAGAAGCTTTGGAAAATGACATAATGGCTCTTTAAAAAAATTAACATTACCATATGATCCAGCAATTCCACTTCTGGATATATACCTAAAATTAGCATCTCACAAATATTTATATGCCCTTGTTCACAGCATCATTATTTACAATAGCTGAGAGGTGAAAAGCCAAAAATGTCCATCTTCAGGTGAGGTGGACATACAAAATGTGGTCTTATCCATACAGTACAACATTTTTGGCCTTAGAAGGCAAAGAAATTTTGATATACAGTTCCCCACCTTGTTCACTGTTTCTTTCTGTGGTTTGCTATACACAACCACAGTCCAGAAATACTGCCTGGAAAATTCCAGAAATAAACAATTCATAAGTTTCAAATTGTGTACTGTTTTGAAGAGCAGAATGAAATCTTGAGCTTTACTGTTTAGTTCCACTCAGGACATCAATCATCTCTCTGGTATCCATGCTGTATACACTACCTGCCTGTCAGTTACTCAGCAACAATCTCAGCTATAAATCATCCGTCAAGTTTCATAGTGCTTGTGTTCAAATTACCATCATTTCACTTAAAACAGTTCCCAAAATGCAAGAGTAGTGACTCTAGTAATTTGGATCTGCCAAAGAGAAGCTTTCTTAAAGCAAGAAATTAAACTAAGGGAAAATTCAAATGCTGAGGTTGCTCAGATCTGCAGTACAATGAGCTATTTTGAGAGAGAAACCACATTCTCATACTTTTATTATGTATACTGTTCTATTATTGCTATTGTCCAAGTCTCACTGTGCCTAATTTATCACAGAACTGTGGCTAAACTTTATCATGAATAGGTATGCAAGGGAAAAAAACAAACACAGTACCTCTAGAGTTCAGTATG